ACTGCTGGGCTCAAGCAATTGCTTCTCAGTCGCCAGCGCTCAATAACTTGAAAACACAATTCCCAAGCTTACTTTCCTGAGAACCAACTGCCGAATGACAAACACAAACAGTTACCTCCTAACAATTCCTGCAAACTACAACTAACATGGGGTCAAGCCTTCCACTTGAAGGCTCGGACCGTTCAAGCTTGCTGGCTGAAACCTGAACCTCGATGGCCATCTTTCAAACGTAAGACACAACACACCTACTCCCACTCGCTCGATATCCATCCGGATCGTGGGTTCCTTGAGGAAAGCAAACAAGCTCATGGGGCTTTTTAGTACTGGAGGGCTCTCCAACCTGGCACTGCTTCGCTATGCTTCGCTTGCCCGATGCAGGTGCCTTGCATAATCAACTACCTGAATATCGGTGGGCCCGAGGTTTTCTCTCTCTCTCTCTTTCTCCAACTGCCCCCTGCCCATTTCGAGTGGGTTGGCGAAAACCAAAGTCTGAACTTTTTGCTTCACCCTAGACTGGCCTTCCCAAAAGGACCGTAAAGTCCGCAAACTGGGAAAGCGAGTCTTTCACAAAGAGCGAGTGCCAGAATCCAATTGCCCTCCACAAGCATGAAACCTGAGGTCTAGCAGACCGGTCGTGAGAGGGAGATTCACTGCAAGAGATATCAAGAGCATACACATCTATTTTTTGGTGTCCTTTTGGGGGTTGCCCTCGTGTTCGACGATTTTCGGCAAATGAGCCAGTGGCACCAAGACCGCGATGTTGATCCCAAGGGAAGCAGCCAGAAAGCCGGTTGCCAACCACATGGCCTTGGCGATGCGGCAAGGTCGCGGGGCAAGATGGAAGGCTGAGCCATGCCCACAGGGAGAGGGCCGCGCTGAAATCTAAACCCGCTGGCTGGTTTACCAACAGAACTGGCCCCAAATCGCTACATCGGCGAATCAGACTGTCTGGTGCAAATGAGCACGTCATGCCTTGCTTTTGCCCCGTGCATGCATCTGTGCTGTCACTCTTGGAATCATCTGGGCAGAGCGGCAACAGCGTCCTCCTGTCGTTCAGGGTGTTCGGCCCAAAAGATCTGATCAGGATCTAAGGGCTGCTATAGCTCAAATCCTGCTCATTTCTTGGGCACCTGGTGGCAAGGATGGGTCAGCCTCTTGGTTGATGCAGGGGGCCAAATTCCAGGCATCCTTGACTGTTCGGGAGACGAGAGCCGTATCTTCCCTATGCCGCAAGGCTTCATCCGGAATTGGCATTACCGCAAAGCAATGCAGGAATCATGCCGTTGCCCTGCGTATTTCGTGCGTGTCTTCTTCACCAGCGTTCGGACGCCGTTGAAAAACACGATGGGGGTCAAATTTTGAGGGTAGCTGCTTTTGGGTTTTAAAAGGGAACCAAAAGGATACTCCCTACTCGCTACTCCAAATACCCAACAGTTTCAGGGTATGATGGCAACCTCTGACTGAAACAATCACTTTGCATACACTCTCATGGATTCATCAGGCTGTGCCCCCTTGCTTTGAAGTGTCAAACCCTGGCACCTCCCAATTCATCCGTGCCGCGTGCGCAAGCTCTGGCCCTTCAGGGCTTCAGAGGTTCGCATCCGCTTGGGCCAGCTCGGGCCGAATGGAGCGGGAACGGCATGCCTGCCCTGAGGAAACTTCTGAGCTACTCATGGGTGTTTCCCAAAATAGGCTCCCTGAAAACGAGTATTTCCTTTCGATTCCCTGAGAACCCCTTGCATGGATACGCTTATGTGCCCTTTCGCGAGCCTCGTGCAGCAACCTGCCGTATTACCAGGTTTGCCCGGGAGCCTGAGGATGTGTACTGACACGAAAGCCTATCAAACGAATCACCTGTCTGGGGGTGGGGGCGCGGTGGAACTGAAGCTTCTCTTTATTACGTCAGCGGGCACGAAACTTCCAATGCAGTGCTACAACTACTGCCAATGCCAACATCGATTGCATTTCATTTGCCTCACCGTGCCTTAGCAGGTTACCAGGCTGGAGTCCTTGCTAGGCGAGTTTCACCATAAAACCAAGGGCGAAGCTTTCGTCTGGGGAACTACCTGACACATTGCAAGTGAGCTAGATGACTGAACACTATCCGCTTCCACTTCAATGCACATGGATTGACAAAAATATCACTGTCAAGCATTGTTGTGTGAACAAACTCCGACTCACTGAGCCAGGTGAAATTCCGCTTCATAGGCACTCCGTTTTCTCAACCCCCGACCGTTCTGAGTCAAATGCCGGTCCAACCGATTGCGGCCTTCAAGCAGATCGTCGCGTAGATGCGGACAGGAAGGTTTTGGATGACTACTGTCCAAAAAGGACGGGCCATTTCCCTTCCAAGTTGGAAAGGGGCCATGTGGACCCCCAAACAATCACAAGTTTACAGACCCTTTTGGTTGATCCCGGGGGCCCGGGGGGTTCGGCTTCCAGGGTTCGGTTCTTCAACCGCTGGCCGAGCATCGGGGATCCCCAGGCGCCCGCGGCTTGCAGGGAGGCGCCGCGATGTCCTCGCGTTCGCGCCAAAATAATCCCTAAGTAGAGCTCAAGCTTTGTGTTGCCCCTAAGCTTGTTTTTCCTTGACCCTCAGCATTGCTTATCCGCAATGGCCCTATGGCACCAAATGAATCTGACGCTAAATGAAGCTGTCACTGGAAATCAAGCTACTGATCTGGGTCACTTCCTCGAAATGGATCCAAATACAAAAGCAATCAAAGTTAGTGTTGCCCTTTGCTCAGTAGCATTGCCAAAAACACTGCCACCTAACTATCACTACTGAGCTCAGTCACTTCCTGGAAATGGTAATTGTGGATTAAACAGCAACTCAACAGCAACTAGCATTGCTCCTTTCAAAGTAGCGTTGCCAAACTTGTTAGAAATTGACCAAGCTACAAAACCAGTGTAAAACCAGTACTGCCAGTCTTCCTGGAACCTGACCGCAGTACAGAACAATTCAAAAGCAGTACTGCTCGACTTCCTGGATCAAAAGTCACTTTGAATACTAAACAGGAAAAGCGAGGGGGCCGTTTACTAATCAAATGCAAACATCCTTTGGCCAACTGAAGCCGTAGCAGGCCGTGACGCTCGTGGTTCTAGATGGGTCTTTGATGTGGAAACTCCCCCCCCTTGGCTGACCAGCTGGCCCTTCAGAGCTGAGAAACAAGTGAACAGCATGTGAACAGCAAGAGTGCCGAATCCACCTCACGCGGATGAGGTGCAGCAGCCGAAGAAACAAGTTGTAGCTCTGTCAGTTGTGCAAAGCGTTCAGAACATGCAAAGTCAAATGACTCAGTAATTTGTCCGAGACCGCCTTTTCGGATGTTTCCTTCATAGTTCCCAACCCTCGGCACCCTCGCATGAGTGAATTGCCAATTGGACCAGCTCAACCTATCGCTGCGCAAATTTAACGGGACATGTCCAGCATTTTCATGTGGGGACCTTCGGTGAGCTCGCGCGCCTCCAAGGGAACCCGCAAAAGCCGCAGCACTCCAGCGAAGCAAAGGCTGCAGTGTGCCATGGTGCACTGCCTTTGGACCAAGCGCCGCTCCTTTCCCTGTGTCAATTGGGTCTGCGTAAAAAAAACATTAAAAAAAAACAAGCTATGCGCGCCCCGGGGGGACATTTAGCATCCAGACTGCAAAGCTTTGAGTTTCATGTCGGCTGAGTCTGACGGTAGCGACCTGGCTCCTGCTTTGCTAATAGACCTGGGCAATGCCTGCGCAACGCATTTTGGACCAAGGAAGGTAGCTCGGAGACGTTCGGTTTGTTAGCTTGGAGCCCAAGGCTCCTTCGCTTTGTTCCCATTGCCCCAACATGAGCCTTTGGCAGAAAATTGCCTCCGCCCTTCAACGAGCACTGACATATCAGAAGGTCCGACAAGCACTGGTACTTCAGAAGGTCCATCCAAAGATAGCTTTGCGTCATCAGTCCATACCAGTCATGATCCCATACTGAGGCGACATTGTAGGAACTAGTTGGGCTCTTTTTTTTGGGATGGCATATGCAACACCAAACCCTTGGACAAGTTCTTCGTTTTGACTCCCTGGCATCCCATGTTGTCAGAGTCGAATGCAGCTGAAGCCGGACGGGCGCGGCGAGCACAGCTCCGAGCACACTTGCTAGTGCCCAAGAGATATTGACTTGTCTGTTGCCCAGGCGTTGGTATGCCAAGGGATTCGCCACCAACACATGACACGAGCCAAATCGAACGCCCCAAATACCAGATTGTTGGCACACAAGCGCTACCAATTTGTGGACAACAGGACCAGGACACATTCCCTTTCCTGATTGAATAGCTTCAATAATTTGTTTTTGCATGCGACAGGCATTATGTCACATCTAGTGCCGTCACTGCTTGGTTGGATTGCTCTTTCTGCTATCTGACAACGGCGCCCCCCTCCCTTTGCAAGCAGGCTGCATTGTTTTGCCAAAAGATAGGTAAAACACAAACCTTTGATTCCCCGCTGAATGTCAAGATTCGCAAAGTGCAACCACTGTGCTCATTCTTGACATGGAGGTGTCTTTAGATGAGGATACCCTTGCGAGTCAGTTTCAAGGGAACCACCAGGAAAGCCACCATTTTGAGGGTACCCCACCCCTAGTTCAAGACACTCGCAATATGAAAACCATGTCCTGACGTGATCAGTGATATATCCTCTCAGAGCCCGAAGCAAAACCAGCCATCGGTGACTGGCAGCCTGCAAAACACAGGGCAACTTTCTATGAGAAAAAACGGCCTTAAAACTGGACTGTTCGAGATCGTTGACGTGAAGCCGCACCCTACCATCGAAAGGCATTCATTCTTCAGCTGTACAAATAGTGAGTCAATAAATCTTCCATTGCGTGCCTCTCATTTGGGTGCGCCTCATCTGCGGACCGCGGTGGTTCGGTGGCTTTCCTTGGACTTTAAATAGGACACGTGAGAAACACTTGCACCCGGCACCAAAACTGGCCAGCGCTTCACACGTCGACGCGGACTCTGCGGCCACTACGGGGCGCCAGTCTCGAAGGTGAAGACTTCGCCTCAATGGGCTGTGGCGACCCATGGGGAACCAACGACATGAGGCGAATCAAAAGAGGGGCTTTGGCTGGTCATGAAAGGATCGTTTGTTTTTTGGGGTGTGGGCTGAAAAAAAATCCCCAGCCCACAGAATAGGCAAAGCCAATATCAACATGCCGCAAACCAAAGGTCACAAACTGGCAACTGCCTGGACACGTGTTGTGGGCTCCCTGATGTGCAAGCAGCTTCGCCAGAAGCCACCCACAATTGGGCGAACCCCCAGGTGTGAAGGTCAAATATTCAACAGACCTGTTCACGCAAGGTCTCAGCCAAAACCAACTTGCCAGGCAGTTGAGGGATTCTGTGGAAGGGGGGGTCTCTGAAATTCTATCCACTTTTCGTGGCTGCATGTATGATATTATGAGCCACTGTGTGGCATGGTATTTCATACCAACGTCTTCCCTGGGCACTTAAAAACAGTCTTTCAACGCTCAATTAGGAAAAACATGCTCATGAATTGACAAAATGTTCTGGTGTGTGTTTTGCGCTCATTTCCCGCTGAGTTCGGCTCATTTTCCGGGGGAGAACTCTCATATAATATTGTTCCGCTCCTAATCTGAAACGAGCAAACACAAATGCCAAGAGCCCCAAACAGTGACCAAATGGAAGACCCAGGTATGCGTGAAAACCCATCTCAGAACCAGCGTGTTGCCACCACACAACTGCACTGGGAGAGCAACCCACGCGAGAATGCCTCTGCGAAGTCTGCAGGCGTGCTATGTGACTTGGTTGAATATATCGCAACAAAGTGAAGGCCAACTGGCCTCAAAACGCAGATGGCTATCCAAGCTTGTGGGTCCATTGAGCGACTAAATGTCATCTTCACGGATGCATCCAGCTCAGCGCAGGGCGATTTTCCTGGACCTCCCAACCAGTCCAACGGGCGGGGTAGCGTTCCTGGCGCCACATCCCACGGATTTCGTTGCTCAAAGGAGCCTTCACAATCAAACTGCCCGTGTCAAGTCAGCGCGTCCTTTCGCGCAAAAATGGGAAGAACGCCGAAGACATCAATTGAAAGCGAAGCAGCACCCAAATATGCGCAGCAATTGAGTGGAATGCATTGCTGTTCTGACAACAACACCCCCAAATTGACAAACCCGTGGTGCACTGTTCGCATACACGGAGACATGCATGCCACTAATGATTGTTTTCCTTGACCGGGTACGTATATGACAAATGGATTCATCTTACCACGAGCCGTGTCCAGCCTCGGACCAGGAAGCGTTGAATTGCGGACAACTTCACAACTTCCTTGGGACAATAATCATTTGGCGCCATCGGTTTTGATGGTTCTGCCTCGCATGAGAACCATGTCCGAAGTGGAATCGCCAAGGCTGGTTTCCTATTGGTTGCCCTTTCAAGCCATCCTAAGAAGGGTATACCCTCAAAAGCAAGCACGCCCGCCATAAAAAGGGTTTCGGTCGGTGACAAAATCTCACGGTTACCCAGCGCCGGAAAGCATACAAGGGTTCCAATGCCATGTGCGCTTGTTGCCATGTGGATGGCGGGGTAAGGCTCAAGTGGTTGGTAAAATTCGGTATCGACTCTTGTAGCCGCGCTAATCAGCGCTTCTCCTTTTCAAGGCAGCACCAGAACAACAACACACATCACTCGCATCAAACATACAGGAAACACATGTTTACTATTTCTAGTGGGCGGATGAGGTCCTCATCATTCCAAGGAAAAACACTGTTATTCTTAAATTATTTATTTGACTCGAAAGCAATAAACATGCTATTCCTGCTACTTATTTGGCCCACCACTGGAAAGCTGCCACAAAGAGTCCCTAAGCTCTGCCTTTAGTTCCCATTGCACGATCCAAAGGGAGAACAGGCGAATCCTTTTCTGGTACCTCCATGGCAAGCAGGAACACTGGGGAAACGTGTACAATTAAACAATATTCTGCTGATCGCACGTATTAGGGGCGCCTAGCTAGCCCCGGTGTTTAAAGTCCCTGGAGCGTTACCCTTAGATCCAATGAGCTTCCTGGGGGGAAAAAAGGAAATGAAAAGACCCGCTGCGACTAGGTCCACCCGACTTGTCCACGAAAAATGCATCTGGCATGGTGATGCGCAGGAGATGGGCTCATTTGCTCCAGGAAAACTCACCCATGGACCCACGTCCACTGCGCGAGCAGGGCTTGGACAAATGTAGCAGATTGACTATCACCTGCAAGAAGGAAGAGTTGCGGTCAAATCTGGAGACCACAGGTGACATATCCGTCCAAGGAAGGAAACCCTGAAATGCTTCTGAACAACTGATCTCGAATTTAGCCTTTGAGGTTGGCCCACCTCGTCGTGGACATTTGCCGCGCGCACGGCCCAAGAAGAAATCTCGACGACCTGAAGCAATGTAGAGCTCAAGCTGGATACTGGCGGCAACATGCGAGTAACTACTTTGTTCAGGAATTTGCCACGGAACCTAAGAAACTGCCCATCCCAAACAGGACCTGTTCTCACCTCCATGGGCATTGTTTCATAGAAACTTTCTGGCTCTTTGTCCGAACCTAGGCAAAAGAACAACCTCTGCAGGCAAGCATGCTGACTCAGCAGAAGTGCTGGCTAACGAAAATATGGCCAGCATTGAGTCTACGTCTGTATGGTGATTAGTTTGGCCACGTTTCTCACGCAATGATGACTGATGACTCTGAAACATCTTTTTGAGCTGGTAGAGGGTCTGGAAGAAATGGACAACTATGACTTCTCGTTTCCTTTGAGAGAAATTGAACGGTCTGCCTATGTAAAGCACAGTGAGACAAGAAGTGCTTTGACCTTGACCTTGGCCTGGCTATCAAGCCATGGACACCTCCTGATGTGGTGATTTGATTTCCCAACATGGACGATGCTGCTGGATCAGGCACACTGGATACGGTCCGAATGGCGCAGGGAGCCAGCCGGGCAAATTTGGGGAGCAGCAACACCAGCAAACCAAAATGCGCGAAGCTAACCGGGGAAAAATAATGGAAACACCCGGTATGCCACTCAGCAAGGTTCGTTCCATCGTTCTCACTATCCAAAGGTAGACTTAAACAGATACTGAAACTAGCGGTTTCCCTTTTCTGCAGGGGAAACCTGCCGCCCCATGGACTCAGCTTTACCCGTGCCATCCAAATATGGAACCCGAATCCCGTCGTTCGGCTCGCTCTCCGGTTCCGCGGGTTCCGGCCATCTCGGCGTTGCGCATCAGCGGGTGCCGGGGCGTCACTTTGAGCACCTCGTCACCCACCTGGCGCTTTCCGCGGCCAGGGAGACGGTATGTGCCAACGAACGGCCCCCAAAATGTGCCACGCGCCCTTCGGTTTCCGTTTAAAACGGTTTCAGCTCATCTCCAGTACCTTCCGATATTTACAGTGGTCTGAATGCTGCCAGCGCGACCTAGGTTTAACCACGAATCCTGACTCTCTGGACAACTGGCAGATTGAAACACACAACTTTTTCTTCTCCCCGAGCGGCATATCAAACGCTCACTCCCGGCGGTGCAACTTGGGCTCATTTGAAAGGTGGGGTTGCAGTGCTTGCAGCGCTTTGTGAACAAAGGTACCCTAAAATCACAAGCAGGTGGCTACCTGAACACCCTATGTCAGGCTGGAAACCCTCGACATGGTCCTTCACAGCCCTCCTTCAAGGGAATCATGGACAAAGTTCCAAAAACAAGTCTCAGTGACCAACCGGAAACAGTTCTTATATAACTCCTGCAACGGCACATTGAAGAAAGTTGACACTTACGTGCAAGTGCGCCATCCAGGTGGAATGCGCCCTACAGCCTCTCTGAGCACCAGCCAGGGCACAAGGAACGGAAGTTCCGAGCATGCAACTCCGAATTGACGTTCATCGAAAGCGCGTTGGCAATTTAGCTGCGCAGCAAAGGGGGCGGCGAAGGTTGTTTCAACACCAGTCAGTTGATCTTTGAAGACCGTAAAACGAATTCTCAATATGGGTATCCTGAACAATCAGTTCATCGCTTGGATTCACGATTTATGTCACTAGGGCCACTAGGGATTGGGTGTGCGTTTTCTTGATGCTACTCTTTTCAAGTTGGCTTGAAGGGAAACAACAGGAATGCCACCTTTCTCGGGGTCCCCAATTGTTGACACATTCCCATCATAGCAACCATGGTGATTGGATATCGTGTTTGCTGGCATGAGCTTGCCACATGCAGCTACAGCTACAGCAACACCCACGCGGTTTGAAGGGGAACACCCCAACTGCCCAGAAAGAAACGAGGCTCAAGAGCTCGCGCTAGGTAGGTCCTCAGGTGGTTCATCTCAGTAGTGCATGCATCCAAGTGATGCAGGATTTTGTCCATCAGCAGGGGGGTTCTGTGGATAATATGTCCAACTGCACTACAAGTCCAACAAATACGACCAGAACTGGCTCACAGGGAGCGAATTGCTCGGTGAATTGCAGCCAGCTCAAAGCAATGCGCTGCGCAGCCATTCTTTATATAAGCGCCGCCGCTCAAATTGGCGGGCGCATGTAGCTATTGGCCCGAAGCATTGTCGTCAACCGGCGACAACGCTGATTTCAAAATGCAAGCAACAAGTACTACTCAAGAGCCAACATATCGAAATTTGCATTGGCTTTGCGGCTGCGGCTCTCTTCCCTCTGGGTGACCGGAAGGTACCCCGCAGCTTGGAATTCGGCAATCCTCACACCCTCTGAGTCACCCTCTTGGGGCGTTGCATCGAGCGCAGGTGAGGCTGCACCGGCGCTGACATCAAAACTGGACCAGATCCAATGCTCAAGCTTCTCGGTACGCTGCGCGCTTCAAAGTCACTTGCAGAACATGAGCCAAGGGAAGCCAACCGTGGCCCATGGAACACCCCGTCTCTGGTCTCAGCCGAGGGATCGACAATGCCTTCCTGTCAAACATGGTCCCACTATCAGGCACCACCCAAGCCGGAAAGCTTGCTTGCAAGTTTGTCTTTGGCCTTGGCAAGTCATTCGGATCTACTTTGAAGCTATTGCCAGATTTGCATGGTGCCGAATTGCTCTTAACTTGACAAGCCGCTCTGAATTGTTGGAAGGTCCCACTGCGCGACTGAATGAACAAGTGTCGGTGGTGTCTACTCAGGGTCATTGCCCAAACAAACATATTGTCAGGGGCGCCGTTATTCTCCCAGAACAGAATTGATGATTGGGATTGGGCCAGCTTGGTTTTACTGAATTGACATCAGTTTCTGTGGTTTGCTTCATGGGCTTCATGTTGGCCACCATCATCACAAACGAGATGCTGAAATATTATGCACATGGCTCCAACACTTCCTACACCTGCAAGCCCTGTAGCTTTTTTCCACGGGCGCCTGGTCAGCTTCCCAGAGAGGCTCTGAGACGCCTACTGCCCAGATCAGCTCACCCTCCCCAAGCCGACTGCGGGCAGTCAAGAGGGACTGAGGGAAGGCATTTTGCGGGCTCATGGCCCGGGGCGCCCACGGCTATGGCCAGCGCTCCAGCACGAGCGCCGCATCCGTCTTCTTCATGAGCTCATCCTGACGCGGCCTTCCCTACGCTTTCGTCGCTGCCTCTCATGGAACCCCTCAGTATCCAGGGCATAGGTGGTAGAAGGATGGCCCTCGTAAATGGAGAAAACATATCTATAAGCCACTGCTAATCACTATCTATTCTCACCAAACTGACCTAGAAAGGACACCCATGGCCCAGGGCCCGCGCCACCGCCGGGATCTTCCGCAAGTTCTCGGCGTCCACTTCCGGGCGCCGCAGCAACGTTCGGGCCACGAAGAGGCCGAACCGGGACTGACGTCGCAAGCGCGATTTCGAGCGGGGCACAAGAGGCGGGCGAGCGAGAACTGGACAAACAGGTGTGCAGGTCAAAAGAAGTTAAACCCAGTGGATCCGTTTACCTGCATAGTAGGTAACCAAGGAAACCACGCTTTAGAGTCCAGAAGGAAACTTTCTGGGATCCACTGAAATCCCCTCTGATCCACTGACGCATCGCAGCCGGCCCCGAGACTTTCCCGCCTGTGCCAGCTCCGAGAGCACCGCCGGCTGACGGAGCTGCTCTAGCATCCGCAGCTGGTCCTCGAGAGGGGGTGCAGCTGGACAAAAAGGGTGTCCCATGATCAGACCCCTTTAAACAGGGGCTCTTTAGACAGGCGGCCCCCCAAAAAGGCACACTTTTTGTAGCTTTGCTTGAGAAAGGGCGAGCTGAAAGACCTACAGTACCAGATTGCAACGGCACACCCACTTTTTCGTGCCCACAATCTTGACATCCCAGCTCAGGCATAAACAGATCCCCGACATTTGCCACGCCAAAGGAGCTTTGCGTGGGTGCCCCTCCCCAATATCTCTGGCCAGCACTGAAAGGATTAGGTTGATGCATGTCCCTTGAAAGCACTCGAATGATGACCATGGTAAAAGTGACTTTCTCAGTAATTAAGCTTACTCAACAGAAAGGAAAGCAATGCCATTGGGCAACTGGACGCTTGCCTGATGATCGCTTGATACCTTTTTTTTATTTCTGCCTCACACGTAGCCAACCCGCAAGGCACCAGGCGCCCCCTGTTCAGGATAACCGCAACAACCCATGCCAACAACAACTGCCATGCCGGTTGGTAGTCTGAAGGCCACTCTGCAACAAGGCTCGGAACCTGCCTCATCCCTTTCAATCGGCTGAACGGCGGTTCTTCTTCAAGGTGAACAGGCCAGGGTTTGAGCGCTTCTGATTTACACGTGCCTGCTTGAACCCTCAACTTTGCAACTGGGAATAGACCACTGTTTGGAAAACGTTGACACACGCTAAACAATGTGGTTTCGACGGAGTCTCCACAAAAAAAAACACAAAATGATTCAACATGTTTCAATTGTTAAACGTGGCCGATCCCCCATGTGGCAACAAAGCCCGACTCTTTCAAATCCCTGGCCCAGCTGCACATGCTTACACGGCTTAAACACTTAACTTGAAAGCATTAAGCAATTTCATGGTGTTTGCACCCTCGGAACAGGCCCTGAATGACATTGATAACTTGCGCCACACATCTTAGAGCGGATCCAGATCACTTTTGGCTCGCCCGTAGGGAATCTCACTAACGCCGGTATTTATTGTTGGCGGGTGCATAGACCCAGTTTGAAACAATCACAGTTGCCATTTAAAGGGAGGGCAACCACCCCGATGCATCCGCTAGGTTTTATCCAGGGTCAACATTCGTCAAAAGGCTTTGTTCCACAGGTTCAGGTCTACCTTTCGATACAAACCTGCACCAAGACTGGGGATGTGAGTCTAAACCCCGCTATTGAACGTAACCCTTGCACGGATAGGAAACACAGGTGCATCTCAAAACGCGCCAGGATTTGCCATGGGCAACACCCCCCTCGACCCAAAAACCCCCCCGAACGGCCGAACGGGGCCTTGGGAGAGCAGTTCCCCAGTGCCGCCTCCACCACGTAGCTGGCGCGCCGGTGGGCTGCGTTGCTCGGCAGGTCCTTCAGCAGCACCTCCACCAAAATGTCCTTGTGCCTATGGGCGACTGTCCTTCCCTATCCTTCCCAATTTCATTTGTTCAAAGGCAAATTTGGGGGATCTTGGATCCCCCAATTTAGCCAAGATCCTCTTGGAAGACGCGCACCTGCTCATCAACAGCATCCCGGAGGGACCAGGATGGACCAGGAAACGTTTGCAAAAGCTTGCAAGCCAACCAGCACGCAGGCTATCAAGCAAGCAGCTGGCCAGCCATGCAACAACAAACCCAAAAGCCCCGGAACTTCATCTTCCAAGCGATGAAAACAGCTGAAGCCAGCTTTAGACGAGAGCACCGCGCTGTTGGCTGGAAACTCGCGCCTGGGATCCCCGCGCTCAAGCACCAGCTGAACGACGTGATGACCAAAGTTGTGGCGGCACAAATCCAGCGCCTGGCTCAAAAAGAAACTTCTAACCCCCTTGCAAAATCAGGGCCATGGCTCAAAGAGCAGACTGCAAACTGGCCTGAAACTGCCATCTGTTCATTGCCACATCTTTCCGAGAATGAATGAGTGCACCATCGAGTGAGAATTAGATGTGCAAAGCCTGACCCAATGCTTAGGTTCACATCTCGATGCAATTGCAGCCATCCTCTGACCGGCATCCTTCATTTCCCAAACACATGGTTTTCAGAATCCTGTCGACCTTGGCAGGCGGGAAGGCTGTGAGTTTATCCGGAAAATAAAAGGAAGTCCCCAAAACCGAACGGTGGCTTCCTGTTTCGAAAGGTGCCGTGCCGGGGGCCCGCTCTT